CAGAAATGAATTATCGCCTCCGTTCGTGAGGGACTTCACGGCGGCTGTTAACACCTGGAAAGTCTAGAAAATATAGAAAATATAGAAAACGGGTGAAAACTGGAGTTGCTTGCTCACTTGCTAAAAGCACCATTGTGCTGCTTTTGAAGAGCGATAGGGCTAAAGGCCTCCTCAGATATATCACTGGCGTCTGTCTTATGCGTGCTGATAATCAGATTACTCAAACGTAGTACAGTTCGCATCCAAGTGTAGGATCATCTGCACCCCCCTCTCCCCTTCTGCAGATGTCTCTGGCTAGGACCCTGGTATAGCTACACATATTGTTCAATTGAGCATACATGTATGGACATGTGTACTATACAAATTGATTTCTGGAACAAATGACAATCAGCATACACGTACTCTTCCAGGATACGCTGCTCCTTGGTGGAGATGCCCTGGTTGACGGAAATCACACCAAACTCGTGTAGAATTTCGCAAGTAACCTGCGGCGTCGGCATGGCGGTGGCGTAGAACTGCACGGTCATGCGATTGTCGAACAGCTCGGTGTTGTCGCACACTGGCGAGATCAGGCCGCTGGTCATGTAAGCCCGGGGCTCCTTCCAGCGTGGGCGTCTGCTCCCACCGGGCGAACCCGGCGCCGACAGCGGACAATCCTGCATGGCCTTGGACAGCCACATGTGCAGTGCGCGGTTCTCCGGCAAGCTGACCGCCTTTTGCTTCGGCACGTCTATCGTACCCGTGTCGATATTGATCAGAGTGACCTGCAGACAATCAAAGTCGGACAGAGAGCGCACAGATGCAGCCGATCAGTAATGGCAGGGGAGGGGAGAGGTAGAATTGGAGGAGAAGCTCTTTCTGTGGCCCACTGGAGCTCAGTAACCCATGTGTAGCATGAGGAGCTGACAGTGCTCCAAGCTTTTGGAGCTGGAGTCCTGTGTTTACAACACCGCCAGTGCTCTCTTCTGAGAACCGAACGTCAACTGATTCACACACTGATACTAGTCGTAGTCAACATAAACACCGATATCCAGTACACCCCCCCCCCCCCCCCCCCCCCCCGTGTGCCCAATCACCACAATGTTAATGTGAATGCATGTAAGGCGTACACGATCAGCCTTTATTCAAACAATCATGATGAGTAGTGGTGAAACGAATAACCGAATATTCGAATATTCGTTCGGTTTGTCAGATTCGAACGAATATTTCTCATGGCGAATATTCGTTAACCCGGTATGCAGAGTTTACCGGGAGACTTCAAACTTCCGTAACTTCGCGAATACTTGACTGAATCACTTCATCGAAAGGTCTATCGGCATTAGAAAACTCTCAGCTGTCGTCTCGAAGCAACTCGAACGCGATCCGAGGTCCTGGAATGGAGTTATGGCGGTCGAACGAAAATCACGTCTCAAGCTGGGTTTTTTAGCGTGTAACATGCACTTCAGCTGGGGATTTTGTGAAAATTGACCTAGAAATGATGGAAAATATGCGCCTTCGTTTGTCATGCCTAATAATAGTGACAATATTCAATAAAATGATTGAGAGGACGGCGTGTGATATCATCTGTGTTAACGAAAGAATATTCGTTCGTTCGTTAAGCCAAAGAATATTCGGCTACTGGGTTTTGATATGCGGTTCACCACTAAATTGATGAGCTAGGCATGCCCTCATGCAGGACAGCGACGGGTCCACATATCGCTCGTAATGATAGACTACAAAACAGGTGCATGCAGACCAAAGTACATACATCATCCGGCAAGTCCAGATCAGAGCGCGTTGCCACGTCCGCCGACATGAGCAGGCCCATGATGAATGGTACGGGTGCGTCCAGCAGGTCCATCTGCTGGCCAGGGAGAATTGGTGCCAGAACATGCTGCCACTCAAACGGATTGATCAGTGCGCCAAGACACTCGGACACCTCCGTCAGAGAGCTCAGGTCCTCCGACACGAGAAGAAGCTGATTCTCCAGCAGTAATAGTCTGATACAGCAAAATGAAAGAGAAAGAAGAAAACACAATCACCAGCACAGACGATGAGAAACAGATGGCATCACTTATCAGCCATGGGAGCAATTCGGACAACTCCATTTCTCCCTTCAGAAAAGACGCGGCTAACAATTTAGCACCCCGGAGACTACAATCGGTGAAAATTTGATCAACTACACCTATTACTACTACTACTACTACTACTACTACTACTACTACTACTACTACTACTACTTACGCCACAATGCTCAGAAGGTCGGCCAATGAGAAGATGCTCATCACGCGCTGCAGGTGGAAGTTGAGCAGTGGGATCCCAGATTCGTGAGATCGAATGCAGTGCATGGGTGCGATGGGCCCCTGCAGAGTGACCGCGTATCCCGGCTGCACCTGCTTCAGGTCGAGCAGATGGTGAATGTGACTCTCGACGAGCTGGGTGCCTGCAACACAGTACACAGAGAACTGAAATATGTAGTAGGGCAAGCAGAGTTCTGTAAAAACAATGAAACTGAACCACACAGTCAAATCCAGGGATGGAATATGCGAGGCGTGGAGCAGGTTTTGTTGCCACTCAACACCAAAACAACATCATACAATGACAAGCGACCATAAACTGTAAAAGTCGCGTATAAAAGCCAGGCTCATTCCTGTAGAAGCTGATGTCATTGCTAGACTTCTATTTAAATCAGGCCTCTATTCAAGCCACATATGTATGTACATGTATGTCAACACTAAACTAGGCGTAGTGTGTAAATGCGCATAGCATTCACTGCTGAGCAGGCCGCCACCGCTAGCCTTACCGTTAGTCTGCTGTGAGGCAACGAGCATCTGCGTCAGAAAGTCCATTCCGAAATGCGGATAGGACCCGTTGAGAAGCAGCACGATGGATTTGGAGATGTACAGATCCTCGTCCACTTGCCACCAGGCACCGTTCTCCACTGATGATGTGTTCACCTCGTTTGTAAATCCCCAGATGTCCTGCAGCGAGAGAGAGAGAGAGAGAGAGAGAGAGAGAGAGAGAGAGAGAGAGAGAGAGAGAGAGAGAGAGAGAGAGAGAGAGAGAGAGAGAGAGAGAGAGAGAGAGAGAGAGAGAGGAGAGGGAGAGGGAGAGGGAGAGAGAGGGAGTGGGAGAGGGAGAGGGAGAGGGAGAGGGAGAGAGAGAGAGAGAGGGGAGAGAGAGAGAGAGAGAGAGAAACATAGTCAAGAGAAGCACGGCAGCCACAGTGGTGCTGCAAAGCCAATGCAACAGCAAAATGAGAAAAGGGTGGAGAGCGCCTTGACACAGGCATGCTTACATCTCTGTCGCTCCACGCATGAAGTGCAGCATAATAATGTAGTCCACCAGCCGTTTTACTCAACTGAACTCGGGTAGCACTGCACCCTTATAATTATAACCCCCTCCGTTTTGCAGTCGGAATCTATATTCGGCCGGCATAACCCTCGTGCTCGGGATATATCCTCCATCTACGTACACTTTAAATTAAAATTGAATGTGTGTGGGCATCTGGCATGCACTCCACAGTAGCGCTGGCTGCACACGGGTATACGTCTCTGCTGCTTCCTACCTGCATGGACTTGACGGCTTGCAGCAGAGCCGGATCCTTGACAATGTGGTAGAACTTGATGGCCGTGCCGTACAGCTGGCGGCCATCTTCTTGAGTCATCAAGAAACAATGAGAGGAGGGATGTGCGGGAAGGGATGCCTTCGTGTAAAACTTGACACCGATTGGCATAGCAAGCTAGTGAAGACAAACAAAATTAATGAAAGAGCACTTTACATACCATATTAAAACAACACTTTGACTTGGGCTGAAAGTGTCGTGGCAAGCACTGCCATATCCGCAACAGGCGAAGCATGACGAGTTTTCAAAATGACCTCTGACTGAGCGTCTCGTACCCTGTATTTACCTGCCAGCATTCGCCATATTGTGTAGTGGAGTCTCTCTTATCCCCCCCCCCCCCCCCTACTGGGCCCCATGCAGGCACGCGCATGTACGTAGTCAAATCTTGACAATCACTTCCTTTTTGCGGTGGTGTGGGTGACTTGTTTGGATGACTTGAACCAACTCCATGACACGGCTATGGTGTGTGTTCTATTACCAACCAGCACCGCTTCACTCACACTCTGAGGACTACAACATCGAATTTCACGACATTCTTCTACGAGAATCGAAATGCACTGGGAGGCAAAAGGATTACTAGTATGCCTTAAATACGAGAAGCACACACCTCTGCGGTACCATCTGTGGTTTGTAGTTGTACTAAAAGCTAAAACGTATACGGTACGGAGGGTCGGCGCACACTTGACCATGTGAACGAAAACAAACACAGTGTACGGACAGTAGTCAGCCGAAATTCTTCAGCTCCTAATAACATGCCCAATTGTGTATACAAGTGAATGGTATCAATCTTGGCTCGGTGAGCCCAACTGAAGAGGATGATGTCATCTACGGTGCGGCTGTGGTGTATTTCTGAGTTGCGGACACGTCCTGGTCTCGAGGTGCCCGGATAAGAGAGGTTCTACTCTCGTACTGTTGCTCGGCCATGGTGCATTTCACCGCCGACCACTAGCACCCAACTCTTCCCCCTCCCCCCCCCCCCCGAACTACGTATTCTGGAGCAGTTTCACTCTGCGTGACACTGATACTGCTACAATAGGTGGGAGCGTTCTGAGCTTGCTCTAGGCAAAGGTATGTTGTTATTATGTTCTCTTGCAAGAAGTTTGGAGAGGATTCATCCTCCAACCAAAGGGCCACTGCTTGCCTTTAAACAGCATTGTCACCGCTGTAGTCCTGTCCTGTCCTGTTTTGTGTGTGTGTGTGTGTGTGTGTGTGTGTGTGTGTGTTTTTCGGTAAGTCAGTAAGTCAATATATCCACTCTAGCCTACAGTAGTCTAGCTAGATAGCTGTTAAAACGTCCAGGTGCATGGCATGCCCTGGAACTTGTAGAACAAGACTTAGTCTAGCCTATGAAGATAGTCCAGCCTAAACAGTACAGTACAGTACAGTACAGTGCAGTACAGTACCGTACATTCCATGAAACCTGTCTAAGGCGACAGCTCAAGGGACCATAGAAATGTGGCCACTGTGTACAAGTGGTCTCCTTATCCAGGGTTATTTGACTGGAAATAACACCCCCTTGGTCCCAGTTGCAGTGGTCTTCTGGGACAGATGGTCGCCTTATCCGAGTGGTCATCTTGACAGGTTTCACTGACACTGCACCTGCAAGCCTGCCATCGACAATAGTATGCACTCTCTACACTCTCTAACTGTCACATGACCATTACATGTACATGTATGTGTTCAGTGTTCACTGCTACCAAACACCATGGTTGGTTGACTGAACAGTAGCTTGGCCAAAGCCGGACAAACCAGACTGGCTACAAGCCACTGACTCCAGCCATTGCTGTACACTGTGGCTTACGACGTGAGGCATGACACACATACACATAATTTAGTATCGTAGAATTGCTTTAGCTCCAGGCAGCTGGAAAATGCGGGACAACTCATGCCGATGGTTTATTTCCAGAGCTACTGTTCTGCAACAGTGGGTTTCCTCAGCCTTGCACGGACTCGCGTCACTAATGCGTCACATGTATACGCCCACACACCCACACCACACACACGCCACACGCACACACGCCACACACACACGCACACACACACACACACACACACGCATACACACACACGCGCGCGCGCATACATACACACACACACATATCGTGCTGAAATGTACTTTAAAAAACCACAACAACAAACAGAACAGAAAACGAACAACCTACCCTGGAAATGGCGCAGCCATCGTATGGCAGACTATCGCGTGTTTCGGGAAAGTGACACAGAGAGCCAGCTTCATAATGACACTGAAGTGGCGTTAGTTGATCGTCTGATGGTCAGGAAAGAAAGGACGTGATATTGTATTCAAGCGCGCACATATGAAGATGATGGTCTGTGAAATTCTCAGCTACTCACCAGGCTTGTGAGTCCCAGAGCTGGGGTTCACAGGTGTGAACTCTCGACTACCATCCAATCCACAAGTCGAGAAATAATACACTAACGGGGCGTCAACCGTGGCCCAAGCGCTCTTGGCCCTACTCATGACATTAATCCTGGCACTGATTCTTTACTAATATCCACACAAATAAGGCTATCTTCAGTGAGTCAGAGTGATGCTTTTCTGCTTTCACCTGACCCATACACTCGTCTTATCCGTCTCTCCTTCGTCATTCGGACATGCATCTACCAGTAGTAGACAGGATTTCTTGACGTCCCACCATGAACCACACACCTTTGGCAATCAGTCCTTCTTCAAACTCATGAAAGAGGTGATGCCAACTTTACTTCACACTGCCCAAAATATTCTCTGTATGTATCATGATGTACGCCGTACGTACAATCTACGCACGTAGTGACGTATTCAGCCAAAAAACGGAAAAGAATAGGCGCAAGCGACCTGGTATGGCATTCGATGCGCCGTTCGAAGATTCGCGGTAGCTATGCGGATTTCTCGTTGTGCGAAGATCTGCTGGAGAGCTCCGGAGTTGGAGCTTGTGCATGTGGTCTTTTGCTGTTTGTGCCACTTTCACGCAGGCTAAAGTCAAGCACAGCAGCTATAGCTATGCCATGCACACGCCCACGCACATGTGCACACATCGCTTTGCGGCTTCCGTTTTGCCACAACTTTCGGTTTGCCATGCTGCTTGCAGCTTGGGGATCGGGGGGGGGGGGTGCATGGGGCCCTACATAGACCGACTGACACTGACCAATCACAGTTTTCATGAAGACAACGTCGCTCATCAAGAAAGTAACTAGTTGCAGTGCTATGCCTGGTGCGAAACAGGGCTGGTAGTATGCGGACGAAGCTGCAGCCGGTGGGAAGCTAACGCCTGTTCGCCAAGGGTGAGACAATCTTGTCACTTAAATGTCAGCCACGGTCCCGGGTATGGCTATCACTGCAACGCACAGAAGTCACAGACACTCCTCCTGCTGCAGTCCTGGACAAGCCCTCCAAGTACGCAGCTGCTGTCGAGATGTTCGAAGGGATCGGTGTACAGGTCACATGTGATGGATGCCACCACCTTGGTGCACCTAATCCTTCAAGTGCCCTTTGGGCACGGATGAGTTTGTAGAACAATTCGTCCAGTCCAAGGTCGCCACCTGGTGTGAGGAAGTTGCGCAGCTCACGACCATCGCTGCATCGCAACCACAAGCCGCCTACTCCGCATTCACGCAGGGCCTGCAAAACAAGTGGTCCTTCCTCTGCCGGACCTCCTCCATCCCACCGGGACTTCTTGAGCCGCTGGAACACGCAGCGATCGGCTCATCCCGGCCTTCACGGGTCAAGCTCCACCTGGGACGACTGTTCGCTGCCTACTCTCTCTGCCTTGCTGGCTTGGAGGACTGGGTATGGCAAACCCCTGCTCATGATGGCTGAGCAGTAGGTCTACGCCTCGGCGTCCAGAGCTTGGCAGCCTTGAAGGATCACGGCTAACCTCGTGTCTCGCCTGCTGGAGAAGGAGTCGTCTCTTGGCGACTCTCTGACTCAGCTCAGGACGGTCAAGGCGACGGTTCGTGCCGAGAAGCGGAGGGCGGCATAAATCCTTGACGTACAAGACTGTCAAGAGGCTCAAGGTCCAAGGAGGAGTTAAAGTTCCGGCCTAAAAAATAAAAAAACATTATTTTTTTAATAGTACATGTATGTATGCACGTTCGAATCTACGTATACGTGAATAAGTACACGTAGACTCTACGTCGCCGCGCATCGCGCGGTATCGGATCGGTGACGTGATCATGACGTCGTGTATTTTCAGTGTTATCACACCTTTTGTTTTTTTTCTGTTTTTGAATCTGATTGACATTTTTATGTATCATGCGGAGTTCTTTTCTCTGCATCCTCTGTGGTGAAGTGTTTTCTAGGCATCCGATCTTTCAATTCCCTTTGCGTTGGACAAGGACTTTTCTAGGATGTCCATATTCAATCAGAAGTGTGCTTTCTTCGTTACTGGTGCATCGCGCGGCTATGGACGGGCAATAGCCTTGGCACTTGCTAAGGAATTGGCTGAGGGAGAATTGCTCGGTGAAGGCTCCTTGCTAGTGGGGACATCGAGATGCCAAGAGCGTCTGGATAGCCTGAAAGAGGAGCTTGCGTTCGTGTGCCCCAAACTGGTGGTGCGCTTGCGCTGTGTGGAGATCAGCGATGTAGCTAGCATGGCTGAAGTGTTCTGTGATTTAGTGAAAGTTGAGCACGCCTATGACGTAGCCGCCATAGTACACAATGCTGGAAGCGCAGGCGATTTGACTGTATCTTGTCTGCAGCAGACAGATGCCGGTGCTGTACAGAAAGCTCTGGATCTGAACATTAACTCATTGCTGCAATTGAATGGTGCGTTCCTGCGACAGTTTGAATCAACCCCAACAACCCTGTTTGTTGTCAACATCACATCACTGCTTGCTGTGGAGGCATTTCCAGGACTGCACATATACTGCTTGGCCAAGGCTGCACGGGATATGTACATCAAGGTACTGGCAAAAGAACAGCCATCCGTCCGCTGCCTGAATTGGGCACCAGGACCCATGCCCACTGACCTCTTCGATGAAATCAAAACCCAGTCGTTTCGCTCGGACATACGCGACTCGTTCGCAAAGATGGCAGATGAGAAGTCATTCGTAACGTGTGCAGCGTCATCATCCAAGCTGATGGGTTTGCTGAGAGACAACAAATTTGAATCAGGCTCTCATATAGATATCTATGATTTGTGATGAGCAGGTCTCTCGTACTAGCTTTCCAGCAAAACACATCATTATTCGCACAGAGCGCTTTGGCTTGCTGTGTGGTAAATACTGGGCATTCTAGTCGGGACAATAGGGGTATGGCGTCTGCGAATGGCCGAACCAGTTGGATGTGCAGGCTACGCTTTACCATCTCCGGTGGACCGTGCGGCGATGGATTGGTGGTGATTTATTGATTCTACGTTCTTCCAAAGAACATCAACATCCAAGCAGCAACGTCTGTGTCCCGCATGTGTGACATTTGGTGCCCTGGCATCATGGGAAGTGCCGTGCAGAACGGGTAAAAAGTGTTTGTTTTAACACCTGTCAGTTTTCTGGAACTACGCTGTGCGTAATATAGATCTTGGCTGGACTTTAGAGGTGGCTGGGCCATCCAGTTTTTTTGAACTTTATTTGGAATATTTGGTATGAAATTAGTTCATTTATGCCTTATTCGTTTCCTCCATATACTGGATATATTATACCGTAATACATTGTATTGTATTGAAAGTTCTCATGAAACGTCTTTCCACCTCACTGTGAGAAAATTATACACTTTTCTTGGTTACATTTTACTTGAAAACTATCTGGTTTTTGTATTAATTTTTCTTCATGGCCGTGTGTGTGTGTGTGTATGTGCTGTGCACACAGTTTTTGACGAACGCAAGACATTACGAGGCATAAATGTCACGCTGTCCGCGCAGCCCAGGAGCGCTGAGTCTGATGTTCCCCACCCAGTGGACAACACGCCTCCTGGTTTGCCCCTTACGGGGCCACATAGCCAGTCACGACACTGGAAGAAAGAAGGTGTGTCACAGTGTATGTGTGTATGCTATAGAAGTCTGAGTCACCAGTAAAATGCCGTGATTGTCACAACTCTTACTCCAGTGCACGATACATGGTAAGTACCGGTTACAGTATGTGGCATAATCAGTTGGTCGTTGTCTTTACTCGGGGCCACCGGAACCGGCCCAGTTGGTCCGGTGATTAGGGGTGAAACAATTATACCGAATATTCGAATACTCGTTTGGATTTTTCAAATATAATCGTACTCGGAATAGATCAGAGTACTCGCTCATACATGGTACATGCAATACCACAGAAGTCTGCAGTTTCAGAGCAGCAGTCAGCAGATATTGATGTGCAGACTGTGTGATGAACATTTGTACACGAGTCAAGAGCGGCCCAAATGACCCACCAACCAATATACCCGAGAAAAAGAACTGCCAATCGGTTCAATCAGGGTTGTATCATGTGATTTTTAAGACGGTTGGTACATGGTGTGCGATTTTTAGGATATCAAGAATACTCGAATACTCGAATATTCGATCGGAGAAAATCAGAGTACTCGAACTCGGGATCTCAGTGCCAACTTTCACCCCTACCGGTGATACAACATTTTAGCCACCAACACAGTGATGTTTGCCACAACCGGTATATCAAGAGTACTCTTGGGTATATGTATGAAGGTCATGTGTACCAGCCATATCATACACAAAGTACGAAAGGCATTGAAACTACCGAACCAATAAAAAACTGCTTCCGGCGGTCCTTATACTGGCATGGTTGTAAAGATTATAGCAGGACAGAAACCGCACAGTGTTCACTTCGCTGTGACGGGCAAGCAGCGTAGCTAGTACTTAGTAGGGAGGTTCTGCTCTACGTTTTGGGAACGCGACGCAAAGAATCACGCGAACTTTCTTCGCGTTCCCGGAACGTAAAGAAATCCTGTTCTGCTCTACGTTTCACCTACAAGTAGAGAAGTCACGTGGAATGTGTACTGGAATTTCCCCTTCCATATTTGGCAGTTTTCTGCATGCAGTTGATCGATACCCAGCAAATCCGTACGCATTTTCTCTGCGTGTGCCACAACCATGACAACGTAGAGAACCCCGTCTCCGGAGCTCCGCGTAGAAATCTGGACCCAAAACACGTAACGCGAAGCCGCAGACTCTAACCCAGACACCTGCTCTCTACGTGATTTCTCTACATTTCACGTATAGCAGAACCTCCCTATTAAAGGGGAACTGTCACCAAAAAATTTCTTTGTCTTATCTTGTAGCTCTTTGGCTCCTGATCACGATGGTGTTATTCGTTTTTCTCTGCGATGACTGGAAGTGGGTGAAAACTTGAAAAGAAGGTGCCCAAAATTGTCCCGAAGTACCGAGTGACGTCACGCCGGACTTGACCTCCACGCGTACTTTCATCGTCAAAAACGAAGTCCAGCCCGCGCCCGTGTGCTCGTCGATCGAGCCAACTAACTGTTCGATGTACGGTGCACGCTTGCCTTCTGAACTCGGACACTCGATGTGTACTTTGTACACAATGAGAACGCCAAAAAGGGACAAAATAAACAAAAGTCGACTGCAGTTTGTCGCACTGGTACTTCCTCCACGAAGCTCCAGCTCTTTGTTTTATTAATTTTGTGATTACGAAGGAGTGGAAGGATGTTTGTTTGCTGTTAGTGTGACACACATACCTCGTACTTGAAAATGATTTCGTTGTATCGAAGGTGGCGATGTTGCCCACCCGGCTCTGAAATGAAAGACGTCGGAGTTCGTCATCTGCATCTTGAGCAACATCGCCAGATGAATCGCCTTCACGTAACTACATTGCGTTCCTTTGGGGCTCGGGTTGGTGGTGTTATCGCCGGCCGGAGGAGTACTGTTTTCTGCATACGCACTCATCATCGTGTTGTTCCTCACACGAAAAGTTCAAAACAACGACGTACTTCCGTGCTCACAAAATAAAACTTAGATCCTCGCGGAAGAAGTCAAAAAGGTGAAAGCTCAGCTGCTTTTTATTTTGATTTGGCTGTGTAGCTGCACGTGGGTCTCTGCCTCTTTGGCATTCTCCTTCGGTACGACGTACCCATCTGTGTTACAGTTCAAAAGGCACACGTGCACCGTACATTGGAACAGCTAGCTCGATCGACGAGCACACGGGCTGGATTTCGTTTTTGACGACGAATGTACGCGTGGAGGTCAAGTCCGGCGTGACGTCACTCGGTACTTCGGGACAATTTTGGGCACCTTCTTTTCAAGTTTTCACCCACTTCCAGCCATCGCAGAGAAAAACGGATAACACCATCGTGATCAGGAGCCAAAGAACTACAAGATAAGACAAAGAAATTTTTTGGTGACAGTTCCCCTTTAAAGGGGAAGTTAAAGGGGAACTCCACGAAAAAATGAAAATTTGATAGCCTGTAGAGTTTCGGGCGCTGAGTCGAATGGTCTTATCTTGGTCCGAAGTCTCTATATACTAGAAAGCGTTCTTGAGATATTTCAATTTTAGCCACGCCCCATACCAATGTATGTGTGACGTCATTGTGGCAATGTGCGAAAATACTTGGATTTTGAATCTCACTTTCTTCAGGACGAAAGTCACTTCAGAAAGTAGTTTGCCAAGTCGCCTGAGCCGCTGCAATGCCAAATTGTTGTGTTGTTGATTGTGCCAGTATCACATCATCCTCCTGGGGTTAGTTTTCTCAAATTCCCAAAGGATGGAGACCTGGCAAAGCGCCGAGATGTTGCAATGCGTCGTGAAAATTTCAAGCCTATTTTCGCAGCACGAGCTATGTTTGCTCGCTGCATTTATGATCCAGAGGGACTTGAGAGCTGAGTTTTGACGAGTACGCCGTCCAGGAAAGCCCTCATCAGTGTACCAGTGCCCTCCGAACCGTGAGCCTCCAGCAAAGTGAACTCAACAAGCTGCAACTGAGAAAGCAGGGCGAGATACGTCCCATCAGGATCAGAAGAGTACATCACCCCATCAACTCCGACTGCAGCTAGCTGATGAACGATATTACCCCAGTAACTTTGCGCATACCAGTACTCAAACTGTGCACATCTGTCATCAACTGGGACGCAAACAGACAGACCCCCAGCAAGTACGAAGGTTACAGAACTGTTTGCTTGCGATGTGCAGGCAGCATGCACGACGAACTGTCTCACCAATCCTGCCAAACTGAACCAGTGTAAGTTGATTGCGTGGATATGTCTCTATTTATAACAGCTACCCTACTTCTAGGCATGGTTGCATGAATACCATATCACTCAGAGCAGTTGTTAGAAGTCTGGACAGCCTTGGAATAGTGCAAGTAAAGTGAAACAAAAATATATTACGCTCCGAGTTCCACGCTTGCGGGATCACCAGGCCAAAAAAAATCTAATTTCGAACAAGGAATGGGTTCTGGTTGTATGCGTGATACGTTACTATTTATTCGTGAAGACTTGGGAACAGAAACAAAACATGTCATGAGAAAGAACAACAGGAAAAAGAAGCACACTCAACTAATCCGTGTGTGTGTGCGTGCATGCAGTACAACTATGACGTAATGAATATAGATACACATCACGCCCCTTCGAGATGTTGCGAAACCTGTGACAGCAACATCTATCATAAATAAAACAAAATGAAGAATGAAAACAACAAAGCAGAGACAGCAGAAATTGACATTAGTGATCAAGAGTGTCAATCATAGGACTGTCCATGATGCGAACCAATGTTTAAACGCTGGGGTGGCTTGCGCTGACGTGCGCTGCGGCGGGACGGCGGCGGCGGGGAAGAGGCGTCAGCAGCAGCCGGTTGGACAACAAGCGGTGCAGGCACAAGTGGGCGATACGGACGCAGGAATCTGCGGTTCCGCCAATAAATGCGACCACTCGGCAACTTCACTAGGTAGTCCCGATGATTACCGACAGCAACAATGACCCCACGAATAAACCACTGCTTGGTGCGCGGATGCTGAACATCCACGTGGGTGCCGAGGCGGAGCTGCGGCAACGAGCGACGAGTTGACGACTTGTCTGTGACGGAATCGTCGGATGGCATGGCAGTCTCATCACGTGTCGTCGCTTTGGAGAGCCAGGATGAATCAAACTCTTTCCAATGTGCAATGACGAATGACTGGAGAGAGCGGCCATATAGGAGCTCAGCGGGGCTCTGACCAGAGGAGCCAGGTGTGTTTCGCCATTCCAGTAGCCCTCGGCGGAAGTCATCTGTGTCAAGATTGCCATTCACGGTTGTCTTGGTGATAAGACGCTTCATGGCTTTGACAGCAGCTTCGGCGTGCCCATTACTCTGCGGGTAGTGAGGAGAGGACATGACATGGTTTACCTGCCAGCGCTTACAAAACTCAGCAAACTTATGCGAGGAGAACTGGGGACCACCATCTGTACACAGCACAGCAGGAACACCAACATCAGAGAACCAGCGACGGAATGCTAGTATCACGTCATGCGATGAGGTGGTGCGGCCAGTACGCGCGACACAGGGCCAACCGGTCAAACGATCTGCATACACAAGGAAGTCGTGACCTTGACAAGTGAACAAATCGGCAGATGCACATTCAAACGGTAGTGTCGGGATGCGGTCGTTCAGCAGGGGCTCAGCTGGCTGGGACGACTGGTGTTCGCGGCAAGCAGGACAAGAACGAACGAGTGTATCAATGTCCTTGGTGATACCGGACCAGTATACAAGCTGACGCGCACGAGACTTAGTACGCACTAGGCCTTGGTGTGAAGCGTGGAGGTTGTGCAATACCTGAGCACGCAATGATTCAGGAACAACAATGCGGTTGCCCTTCAACACAATGCCATGGTCGACGGAGAGATGCTCACGTCCATTCCAGTACACACGTAATGGAGCAGGCAACTTCTGCTGGCAATCAGGGAATCCAGTCAAGATACACTCAATCAATGACTGGTACGTGGCATCTGCAGCTGCAGCTTCCCGCAGCTCTGCAACCTTGAGATTCGCATTCGGCTCAGTGTCCGAGTGCACCATGCAGATCTGAATGCTGCGGCAATGAAGCGACGGGGCTTCACCAAGCTCATCAGTGGTGGAAGGAATGCCAACAGGATTCCGGGACAGCGCATCGGCGAAGGCATTTTCAGAACCTTTTCGCCAAGATGCCTGCAGCTGATAGGCTTGGAGCTTGAGGCGTAATCGTAGAAGACGCGGGTTCTCGATCTGATCCAACGAGTATGAGTTGATTATCGGAATCAGGGGCTTGTGGTCGGTGACGACTTCAAATGGCGCACCAGACAGGTAGATGCGGCATTTGCGCACGGCCCATACTACAGCGAGCATTTCCAACTCGATGACAGCATAACGTGTTTCAGCATCAGACAGGTAGCGGGATCCACACTGAATAATACGCCACTGATCATTCTGCTTTTGCCAAACTGTCCCTCCAGAAACTTGCGATTCCGCGGCCGCGTTGTTTTCCGCGATTTGAACAAAAGTCCGTGATATCCGCGATATTTGAAAAATCATCCGCGATTCTTGTAGAAAACTGTCCTTGATACTTAAAAAGGACCGCGATATTTCGAAAAGCAACCACGATATTCGAGTCTTTCTTCGATGTTGTTTAGTTCTTGAAGCTCGTCAGTAGTTTACTTTTGAGATCGACGCCAGAATGGAGAAGTTTCTGGGCAAATCAGCGGCGGACAAGTCACAAAATAAGGCTCGCGTCGAGTGTTGTCCGAGGATGGAGGAAAGCTGTCTTGCAAGCTCCTGTCAGGCAGTTGAACACAGTCAGCGCAGCACACGTTCTGTTTTGTCATGCATGATTTATGCTGTACGACTCGTACATCGTACACCACTAGCTACAGTACAAGTACCAAAATCGGCCGCAATTTCCGCAATTTTACCACAATAATCTCGCAATATTTGACAAAATCCGCAATATTCCCCGCAATTTGTGGCATTTTACCTCGCAACTTTTTCCGCGATATTTCCGAAATGTCTCCGCAAGTTTCTGGAGGGACAGGCCAAAGCACGAATCCGAGACCTCTTAGAGCGGATGCATCGGTTTCAAGCCGGAGGTCTTGACCAACTTGATAGAAAGCGAGAACCGGAGGAGACAAGAGAGCTTCCTGTGTCCGTTCAAACGCTGCAGTGTGGCTAGCGTCCCACATGAACTCACGGGAGGTCTTGAGCAGGCCACGCAGAGGATTGGTCAACTCGGCTAGATGTGGAGTGAACTCACCACATTGGTTCACTAGACCGAGGAACGAACGGAGATCGGTTCTGTTGGCGGGTACTGGAAACTGGCGAATACCGGACGTCTTATCATCGTCGACGACCCAGCCATCAGGCGTGACGTTGTAGCCGCAGAAATGGATACGTTGCGTACCGAACACAAACTTGGCGGGGCTGAACGTGATACCATGCTCCCTGGCGCAGAGCAGAATCTCGCGCACGTGGCTGACATGCGACAGAAAGTCGTCGTCGTACGCTAGGCAATCATCGACTACCTTGCCGAGACGCGGGATGGCAGAGAACGCAGCATCAGTGCGCCGGTTGAACTCATCCCCAGCAGATATTAGACCCTGCGGGTTCCGTAGATAACGATATCTGCCGTACGGGGTGATAAACGTGGTGAATTCCTGAGCAGTGTCACTGAGAGGAATCTGCCAGTAGCCGTGCCTTGCATCGAGCTTCGTAAAGAACTTAGCAGAGCCAACTCCAGAGACAACGTCACGTGCCGTATGTACGGGATGCGCGGGACGACGGACTTGGTCGTTCAGCCGCTTGAAGTCAACTGTGAGGCGCTTCTCAGTGCTGCTCTTCTTGTCTACTATGACAATCGGATGGCACCATTCACTGGGCTCCGTCACTGGTTCAATAATCCCGTCGCTGACCATGCCGTCGAGCTGAGTCTTGATCTGGTCACGGAATGCATACGGTATTGGTCGAGCAGTGTGCACACAGGAAGGCTTAGAATCATGCTGTAGCTCAATTTCCATTGGCGGACCTTCCATTGGCTTCAGACCGGAATCCGAGAAAACGTCAGCGAACTCTTGCAGGAGCTGCTCACGTGTCCGCGCTAACTCAGCATCACTAGGATGAGCGCATGACGAAACAGCTGCACAGATCTTGGGTGAAGATGCACCCTCGTGTTCAGCGGTGAATTGGACTGGCCAATCAGGTGGGAGAAACTTCAGCGCACGCAATGAGGTATGAGAGAGCAGGGCATCGTGTAGACCCTTGTACACATGGATGACGGTTTCATGCTGCGTCTCACCGACTCGTAGAGTCGCACGTATCTTGCCCAGGTTGCGTAGCGGCTCACCGGTCACAGCCTGCACACAGTCGTGGTCGTCATCTAAGTTCTCGACGAACCCACCGATCTGCGTGAGGTGCTCCTCGCCAATGGCATCAACGTCACTGCCTGTGTCTGGTGTCCAGGACAGTTGGGATGGCTGATCCTCTGTTTGCAGCATGGTCGAAACAGGTACTGTGCGACGGTCCACGCGAGACGCACGCTGTAGCTTCAGCTGTCCAAGCTTGGCAGCAGAGCTAGTCTTGGGCTGTTTCTGGCTCTTGCACATTCGCTGAAAATGCCCAATGCCATGACAGGAGTTGCACTTCTTGCCCTTGGCAGGACATACAGATTTCGTGTGGTCAGAACGACCACAATTTGGACAAGTGGACTTGGCCGCACTTGATGTCTCACTTGGCTTAGAGTCAGCTGGCTTGTGACGTTTCTGCTGCTTGTACGCCGACTGCTTGGCAGCACTTGCCTGGAGGCCAGGACTGGGCATGTGTGCCTTGGTGTGGTATGCTGCTTCCTCCGTCCGACAGAGGGTGACAGCCTGGTCGAGCGTGAGACCATGAGTTGCGAGCAACTTGTGTCGCGTCTCATCGTTCCGCACACCAATGACGACGCGGTCGCGCAGAGATTCCTCCTTGAGGGTACGGCCGAGGCCTTTGCACTGCGCACAGCAGCGAGCATCACACGTTCCACATAGGCTGTGTGACAAGAAGTCGCATGCACTTTGTAGTTCACACAGGGCTGTGTAAAACGCATCAAATGATTCTCCAGCTTGCTGGACACGCTGGTAAAACTCTATGCGGTCCAACAGTGGATTACGTTGCCGTCTGATATACGCCTGAATGCGCTCCAGCATCAGGTCGACGTCAGCTGAAGCTGGTATGCAAATAATATCCTCTCGGATAAAACGTCGCAGCTCCTCATCGAAACACTGACGGAGTGTTGCCACTCTGGCCTCACGAGCCTGGCTGGCCAAATGCTGGCAAACACTAAAATCTCTCCAGCTTTCAACGAAGGAGTGAAAATCAGCCAGCGTCGCAGACGACAATAAGTGTGGGCAGGAAACACTGTTCACTGGCCGTGGTGCTGAGGTCTGCGAGGTGGACTGAGCTGGTGCTGAGGGCTGCGGAGTGAACTGAGGCTGCGATGGTGATAGCGACCTGCTCTGAACATTCTTGAACAGATCTTGCATCGCCTTATCACGAGCCTCAGCTGCACGCATCTGCTGCTCCATAAATTTCATCAGGACACCCATTTGAGATTCCTGCTGTCGCTCGGTCGCGGAGGACAGGTCAAATCCGGTATCGTCCTGTGATTGTTCCATTACGATTAGTCACTCGTCCACGAGTACGAACAAATACACTACTAAAATAATTCAACTGAGACAGAGTTTCGATCGCGGAAACTACTACTTCATACGGAAAAAACAACTGGGCCCGTGCAAACACTACAAGGTGCGGACACAAGGCACGGACACAGGAAAGAACAAGTTCACTGCGCCATGATACGTTACTATTTATTCGTGAAGACTTGGGAACAGAAACAAAACATGTCATGAGAAAGAACAACAGGAAAAAGAAGCACACTCAACTAATCCGTGTGTGTGTGCGTGCATGCAGTACAACTATGACGTAATGAATATAGATACACATCAATGCGAAAGAAAAGTAAGTGAAGACCTATTGTGCAAGGAATACAGTGGGAACTACACATATTATACACATGCACTCACACCATCACCCACATGCGCGCGCGTGCGTGTGCGTGCACACACACAAACACAACAACACACACACATACGCACCCACATACTCAAACTCACTCGCACGCACGCTAGCCTAAGGATAGTACATATGCTGTAGTAGTGGTATACTTAGTGAAATGACTATGTGTACATCTAATGACGCCGCCACTCCACGCCAGAAGACAACAAACATCTGCTGCAACATTTTTGCTCCCGTCTCTTATGGGCAACACAGGGAATGAAACGAACAATGCAATTGAGAACAAGAGTCGTCCTGTACGGTGAAGTTTCCATTTTCTCATACAGCAGTATATTGTCTAAGCAAGTGTGTTTTCTCCACATTCTTTTTGCCATGCAGGTATATCGCAGTGTCATGCCAAACTACATTCTCAAACGCATTCGTTTCTCAATTCTGGGGATGATTGGACACGCACATCTCGCAGCTCTTGACGACGTCAATGTTAACCGTCGCCACAGCACAACCAAAAAGACCGCGATAGGAAGGTATAAAGTCCAGTTCTCAAAGCATAAAGAAGACTGTGGCCAAATAGAAAATTATACGACAGAAAGAGCTATGAGTATGTTGACAAGCTCATGTGTGAAGTGGTAGCGGTTGCAAATGGCAACCTCCATGTTCCTGCCTTGGAGAAGCGTGTTTCCCTGCCAAATTCCAGGTGGAAGCCTCCTGAGAAGGCTGAGGTGGTGCAGGATTTGGATATCTTTGCCTGATGGTATTCACAACGCAGGCTGGAAGACGACAACGAACGTGCTTGCCCAATTTGCCGTGTACATAGTGTGTGCTGCCTGTGTGCCGCATAGCGTAGAGATCTACACAAACACAGAATGTCATATGGAATGTGTATGATGAGTGCTTGTACACATACCACATTGCTGTACCGTAATAATTATTATTGTCGAATACTCATTTACTCTACATATGCGCTGTATTGCACCTACCGGTACCTACCTGCACTTTCAGTGCGCGCGCCATACTAATTTAGTGTCCACTGGTACAAAGATGGAGGGTCTTGTAGAATTTACCATAATTGCTGATTTCAAATTGAATTCCAATGATCTGGGGGATGAATACTGATTAGGACGCGTTCGATTACCTACTAGTACAGAGATGTCTTGGTCAGAAAGTACAGATTTCTTACTCTCCTGCCAGAATTTGTGCATTATTTTGGTGTACGCTTTCTTGACCCCACGCTTGTACGTTGCACGCCATGGTATACTAGAAAACGAGTTTATTGACAAAGTCTATCGCTTGAAACGATAAAGTATGGGTTCGGGTGTGATCAAATGCACCCATGGTGCTCATAAACTGTGTGCAGTGCTCTCTTCACCAACAGAACACTACCTACCATACTTTGTAGATCTTGTACCAATCCAAGGGAAAATGACAAAGACAAATGTGAGTCATGCATGAAAACTTGTGATAGCACGGTCTATAGTACAGAACAACGTTGTTCGTGCTATGCCTGACAACAATAATTAGTTACACACAAAACATTACGCGCATCGATCCTCACAAGATAAGTCAAGACATACTCGGAGCAAAGAGAAATTTGTTTGTGTCATGCATGAAACTTGTGATAACTACCAGTACAATGTCTTTCTTGTGCGACGCCTACTGTAGTGCGCCTGACAACAATAAATTTCCCCCAAAAAATAAGAATAAGTGTATCATGCTGATACGCGATCCTCACAAGACAAGTCAAGGCAAACTAATTGAGGCTTACCTAATGTCAGACTCTTCTGTCACTGGCATTGGCGGCTTCTGCATGTCGAGATAACCTCGAAGAGCAGTGATGAGCACAGCCTAATGCAAGGATACGATCTCGTAATCTGCGAGGTCCGCTACGCAAGAAACCTTGGGCCGTCTTGTCGACAGCGACGGCAGCATCCTACCAGCAAAATCATTCCCGCGGGCTGGGCATGGCTATACACTTTTGTCCACGCTCGCACCAGTCGGAGTCCCAAACGAATCGAGATTCTGGTGGCCAAGCTACTCGTCTTCTGTCGGACGCAGCTGCTGACGCATCTTCTTCCTCCACATTTGTTCCACGCGATGGCAGCTCCTCAGCAGAGTATCTGGGCTCCCTGCCCCAACCATACGCGGCGGTGGGCTGTTGGTCGTCCTCACTGGCCTCAGCATCGCTGACTTCATAGCTGGGGACAGAGGATTGTTCGGAATCGCCCATCTTCCCTTGAAATACCAACTAAAATTAGTGCTTGTAGACTGGCGAAGAGAAACGACTTTGCCACAATGACGTAGGCAGCCCGTGATGATGTAACCAAATGGCCGCATGACGTCAGGGCGCGGCCCCCGTTTTTGCAATTTCAAAGTGAAATATCTCAAGAACGCTTCGTCGTAGAGACTTCGGACCAAGACCATTCGACTCAGCGCCCGAAACTCTACAGGCTATCAAAGTTTCATTTTTTCGTGGAGTTCCCCTTTAAGGCAAAAATTAAAATTTCACCAGTTGTAGTCTTCGGGGTGCTGAGTCGAATGGTCGTGGTCCGAGGAAGCTGAGACGCTCCCTTCCTACTTGAATCCCAATCGAACTCGCACACTTCCACCGAAACTGGGTGACTGCGCCCTACTAGATGGGGATTTGTATGCAAAATGTCACTAAAAGCGCCATTTCGTTCTTATAAAAGCACGGATGACCGCGATTGGCCCATATGTTGTAGTCTTTTGGACGCTGAGTCGACTGGTTTTGGTCCGAAAAGGCTGCGATGCAGCGTTCCGCCTTTATTCCCAATCGAACATGGTTGAACAAGCGGTCACGTGCTCCTGCGTACGCCATGCGCCAGTCACCTGGTCACGGTACGCGGTGCCTGCAGGGTAGAACTAAGTAAGTTACTTACTACAGTCCATTCATAAAAAAATGGGTCCTGGCTCTGGCGAGCTCCCGTATTTGGCGATTTTTCGTGATTTCATCGTACACAGTGCAGTGCTGCGAACTTTGAAATTTGAAAAAGGGTCCAAAAAGGGTGCCTGAACTGGGGTTCGAACCGCAGAATGCACTGTTGCAGGCGGGGTCAAACGGCCTGGACTTTGATGGTTTTTCCCAATTCAGTGCTATTGGGGCAAAACCTGGCCGAAATCCTATTCTTGCTATGGCTTGCTTTTTGGACAAAAAAACTTCAGAAACATAATTGGAAGAGGATTCCATATGGGATTGCAGAAAAAAATTCTAAAAAAACTCAACGTTTGACCCATTTATGGCCAAAAGCTAGAAGTTCATTTTTTTCTGAATGGACTGTAGCTGTAGCCTGTTTGACCTTTTTTGGGTGCAGTCCTGTCACTCGAGTTGAACTCGAGTTGAACCTTGGTGTGAAAGTTCTCACCTGCTGGCGTGGTGACCATATCCCATGTACCAGGTGATTTGGGCACCCAGGCCGGAGCACCCGCTTTTTTGCGATGCGACACGCGATGCGACAGACGCGAAACCGGGAAAACCCCGAATCGCAGCCATGTCGCACCCCAGGTCCCCACGCAACTGCCGCAACTGGGCCATCGCAGGCCATCGCAGAGCGGGATTCACAGAAGCTTTTTTGTGATGCGACACGCGATGCGACAGGCGCGAAACCGGGAAAACCCCAAATCGCAGCCAAGTCGCGGCCCACGCAACTGCCGCAACTGGGCCATCGCAGAAGTTGAGCTTGGCTCAACTTTTGCGATGCGATGCGATGCGACAAGCGATTTGGTGTACGATTTTGACCTTTTCTACAGCAAAGTTGTACAAAGGTGCAAGAGTTGCCTATAAATTTTTACAAGTTGTGTCAAACCGCGCGAATATCATGGTGACGTACCCAAATCAACAAAACTTACTTTGTCGCATCGTTGACTTCTTCTGTGAATGGTATTTCGCGAGTTCGCATCGCACGCATCCATCGCAGATCGCGTCGCATCGCGTGTCGCATCGCAAAAAAGCTTCTGTGAATCCCGCTTCAGAGTGGGCAGCAGTCTATGTACTCCTCCCGGATATCCCTGCTGGGCTGGGGGAGTGCCAGCTACGTACATGTAGCCACTATGACTCGTTGTGTCACGTGAGAGCGAAAAAGGCTCGCGCTAGATCATAAAAAATAGCTGATGTCATGTCGCCGATGCCGGCGATGCATCGATGGTGCACTGACTGTGCAGCCGGTGATGGATCAATCGACCAGTACTGCAGTGTAGAAGATGACATTGTGTAAAATGGCTATGTAACGTACAATACCGGTACTTGTGAGTTGTGTGCTGGCCAGGGAGTCATAGTCTCACATAGACCCGCGACTCCCTGGTGCTGGCTTATGTACAGGACTGTGTAGTGTCAATACTACAGTGTACTAGTAGTAGTCAGTCTCGTCTGAGTGTGCTGTAAGTGTAACGACAACTGCCGAAAAGCGTGAAGCTGGACAGCGAACTGAGCGAAGACCCTTTCCATGAGTTACGCGATGCGTTGACTTACCTGGGGGCTTGTTCGTAAACGACACACTTCTTCACTGACTCAGTGACTGTTCCATGAGAAAATAGTTCGTTCGTTCGACGCCGAGTGTCCGTGGTGCGATGGTCATTGGGCACTGCGTCTGACAGTGACACCGTCTCTTTCTGCAGTGTCTCTGGTATCGGACAACGGATTCCCTAACAGCCCACAATATTTGCGGTAGCCCCGGCAAGAACCGTCGATGTACTGGTGGTGAGAGCCCGCTGGTTATTGGTAGCAGCTGCGGACAGTCCATGTAAACATAGTTGCCAAGCAGTACTTGAAGATCAGTTATCGACTAATAATTACGATGCTGAACAGGATACTGAGCCTGCGTCGTGGACGATCGGTGCCTGTGGATCTACCGGCGGACGATGAACAAGCATTTCACGTACTTTTGCCACTGATTATCTCGCATCAAGACAAGCAGGCGGCTGACCTTCTCTCGTCGCCCAGCTGTACGTTCAATCCGAACATGCACCTAAGTCGATCAGGAGACTCGCTCCTGCACATAGCGGCTAATGCCGGTGCCATAGAGGTGTTGACGGTGATGCTGAAGCGCGGTGCCGATGTCAACAGCCGCGACAAGAATCGCAACACGGCACTGCACCTGACGGCACGGGGCAATCACCAGAGATGCTTCGGCCGCCTGCTGGAGTTTGGCGCGGACATCAACGCGTCGGACAAACGCGGACTGACGCCGCTGCACTGGCTTGCAGCCACGCGTGGACAGACGGAACTTCTGACGATGGCAATCGTACGCCACAAGGCTCTGGTGGATGCCGCCGACTCGATCGGGCAAACGCCGTTACACATGGCCTGTCAGAACGGCAACCGTGCGGCCGTCACCAAGCTGCTGGACTACGGCGCAAACTGCGAGCAGCAGGACGAGAAAGGGCGCACGCCGCTGTTCTTTGCCTCACGCTATGGTCAGGTGGAGTGCATTCAGCACTTGCTTAAGCACGGCGCTCAGATCCAGGCGGACCGCGAGAACAAGACGGCGTTGGACGTGTGCGTGGAAGGTGGGTACAGCGCGTGCACGCTGGCGCTGGTCGAGCACTTCCCCCAGCTTCTTGTGCCGCTGGTCAAGATGGTGCTCTCGCGCGACATGGACGAGGCCAAGACTCAACAGGCCTTGGAGTACCTGTGCCAGAAGAACCGAACGCTGCACACGCGCATTGTGTATGGCCTTGCCGAGCTGGCGGCTGGCTGTGGTATGGAACTGATTAGCTCACTGGAGAGTTGTGACATCACCGTCGACAGTTACCTGTGCTCGGTGCGGATCTTGCTGCATTTGTGCAGCAAGCCACCGGCATCGCCAGCTGAGCTAGCGCGAGATCAACACCACCACCTGCACCCAGCCCGCAGCGCCTCCTTCTTTCGGTCAATTGCACGAGCTGAGCCAGAGAAGCCGGCAAGTGCTGATATGGACCACCCGCTTGCTGTGTTTGACCCACTCTGGCATCTCATGACCCTATGGTTCTGTGCTGTAAAAGATGAGCTCCAATCAGTAGCAGCAGCAGCTTCCTCAGTGGCGAGCGAGCCTTTCCATAAAGTTCCGTCCAAGGCAGCTTCTTCAGCTTCATCTTTGGATGATGTTCTGAGCACTGAGAGTGATGTCCACTCAGCTAGCGGTGTGACGACCAGTCCTATGTCTGGATTAAGCTCACGCCTGCCCAGTGATGGCTCTCTCAGTGATAGTGGCCATGGCATTCACATTGAAGAGCTCAACCTCCCAACGCATGTGTCAGCACACGACCCCCCTCATGCTTCCTCGGTAGGGAGTGGCCAGTTTGCTTCGCATCGAAAACACCGCAAGGTTTCACTCACCCCGCAGACCCGAAGCCTGGCAACTGCTGTTGTGAAAGATATTCCGGTTCAGCTATGCAAGGCACTGGTTTGCAAAGAAAGCAGTGATGGCAATCTGCATGGAGGCCTGCCTCTTCTAGCCTGGCGCAAGCTGTCTCGACGCCAGGATCTCCCGAGCACTGCAGCATTACGCGATAACCTGGCATCAGTGGATGACTATGTGCCAGAGAGTTCTGAATCTGACACACCTGCTGCCGAGCAACCGACAGATCCAAGCAGCACCAGCGCTCAAGAGTGCGCGGATGAAACGAGCAGCACTACACCAACAGCAGGCGCAACTGACAGGATGCCTTCTGAGCTCAGATCACAAGAGGGTGACGACGTTGAGGATACGACATCAGGTGCCGTCGTGGACTGCTTCACCGATCGCCTGTGTGCCGTAGCCCGTTCCTACTTTATGGTGTGCTGTGCAAAGGCACACAACGGCCCGGGCTTTGGTGTGCCCGACGAGTTTGTTCACTTTGTGAAGGAGCACATGGCAGCAGTGAAGGTCCTTGTGCTTCGCAAACCGGAGCTTATCTTCGCCCACTTTGCGTTTCTGCTGGAGAGCCCAGAGCTACTACGGGAATTCACACATATCATTCATGCGCAAAAGTTCGAGGAGCGGCGCAAATGGTTCTATGAGAATCTCCACGAAGGCAACTCATCAACGCTGGATTTGGACAACGTGATAAGTGTGTCTCGTAGTGGCATCTTCCGCAGCTCCTGTGAAGCGCTGATGAGCATGGATGCAACAAAGCTCAAGAATAATTTCTCTGTCACGTTTGAAGGTGAGGAAGGCATTGGTTCTGGCGTCCGGCGAGAGTTCTTTGATCAGATCTCCTCTGAACTGCTGAACCCGGACTATGCGCTTTTCACACTATCGGCTGATGGCTCTACATTCCAACCAAACCCGAACTCTGAAATCAACTCGGATCATCTCAGCTACTTCAACTTTGTTGGCCGCCTAATAGGTACAGCTATCTACCACGAACAGCTACTTAGCATCTACTTCACGCGCTCTTTCTACAAGCACATCTTGGGCATTGCCGTGGACTACAAAGACGTAGAGCACATCGACCCAGACTACGCACAGAGCCTGCAGTGGTTGCTGGACAACAACATCAACGACCTCGACTTTGATCTGACGTTCTCGCTGGAGAATGACGTCTTCGGCAGCATGCAGGTCGTGGAGCTGAAGCCGGGTGGTGCTACGCGGGCCGTTAGCGACCACAACAAACGCGAGTATGTGCGCCTGGTGGCAGAGCAGCGGCTAACCAGCGGCATACAAGAACAGATCATGGCGTTCATGAGAGGCTTCAACCAGATGATCCCTCAGCGGCTCATCTCGCTGTTCAACGAGTACGAGCTTGAGTTGCTGATGTCTGGAGTGCCGGATGTCGACATTGACGACTGGAGGGCGAACACGCACTATAGCGGCGGCTACGACGAGACCAGTCAGGTAGTACTCTGGTTCTGGGAGGTGGTGGACGTGCTCGATCACAAGGAGCGCATTCTTCTGCTGCAGTTCGTCACCGGCAGCTCTCGCGTACCGCACGGCGGCTTTGCCAACCTGCCCGGTTACAGCGGGCCGCAGAACTTCAGCATCACGTCGGCGCCGCAGGCGGACAAACCTGACAGCCTTCCGACGTCCTCTACATGCTTCAACATGTTCAAACTGCCAGAGTATCCAAGCAAGGAGATACTACATGATCGGCTGCTGGTTGCCCTGCACTATGGCAGCCAAGGATTTCAATTTGCATAGCATGGTGATTCTTGGCACTGGACACTTACTGTTCCCCGAAGAATAGAACTTTAGATTTTGAAGCTGCGCTTTTACGCCTTTCCCTAAGGGGGCGTTCCTTTTTGATCTACAGGTTTGGGTAGAAACTACTTCTTTCGGTAGAGGTGTTCGTTTTTTGAAAAAAAATTCTACTCAAAAGGGTAGATTCTACTTTCCTCTACCGGCTCTACCGGGAAAAAGTTGGTAGAATCCGGTAGAAGTTGGTAGAGCTACGGGATTTCCAGCAAGATCAAGGATTTGTACACAACTCCATAAAAAAAAAGAAACATTTCACGTACGCATCGTATAAACTACTTGTACTAGATCTGGTAGAACAGCGTTCGTACAGTACACTTGCCTCTACCATCTACCTCTATCGGTAGAGTTGTAGCGTTGGCACGCTAGTAACTCACACAGCTGCAGCGTGAATCACTTTCAATGTATTGGTCACGCGTGTTACACCGCACCCGTACCCCGCACTTGCAACTCTGTACCGTGCTTGCAGATCCATGACATGGATAGTAACTAGTCTCACTGCGTTCAATGTTTCATTATAGCAATAAAAACTGCTTTATGGCAGTTTTCTAAAAAAAGTTATTGTGTTCTAGTCCATGGACCCCGTCTAAAAAGTAAGAAATTAACGAAATGTGATAGCTGAAAATTAAAATTTCACACAAAACCTCACAATAATCACAACACTTGAAATGCTGCTTTCAACACTAAACTTGTACTGCACCAACAATTGGCAACATGCATGCATAGGAAAGAGGATCACGAGGGGAAAATGTCTTCTGCATGTAGCTTTTCATTCTGTGTGTGATTATTGTGAGGTTTTGTGTGAAATTTTAATTTTCAGCTATCACATTTCGTTAATTTCTTACTTTTTAGACGGGGTCCATGGACTAGAACACAATAACTTTTTTTAGAAAACTGCCATAAAGCAGTTTTTATTGCTATAATTTCTTTTGTTTTTTCTGTCACCATGTACCAATCAATGGAATGCCCTATATCAATATGTAAATGATGGCCTTCACATCATATCAATACCATATTATACGCATTGATGTGCAAGCCTTTTCTTGCAGAAAATGGCACTAGCATAATGCATGTTCTTCTGTGGGGAAACATGTGAGCAGTGGTGGTGATACTTTTTTATACGGAGGCCATTCTGTGCATGTTGCTGTTGCAGAATTTCATGAAATTGTCTTGCCTTTCAGATTTCTCCACCCTCAATCAGATTTATTTGAGAAATGTAGACATGCGCCAGGTGCGTGTCGCAGATGTTTTTGTTGATTCTGTGTTTATAATGATTTATAGTCATGGGTTATCGTGATAAGGTCATCCAGCATCATATTGAAACTGAAATCGTAACCCTGTCGATGTCGATACAACTTTTCGAAGTAGTTCAATGACTTCAAACTGTTAGTCCACGATTGTCTAAAACAACACAGCAAAGGAGGAACAATAAACATGTATTAAAATGTAAACGAATACATTGCTGAGTCCAAAACCTCGTTCCAACAACTACACTGATCCTGAGGAGAAAAGGGGCAAGGCTATGGTTGGAGGTACTGAGAGATAAACAAGGCACTCCACAATAATAAAGTCTTACACATCTTTTGGTGAGTATGAATGATATCTAGTCCTCTTTAGGACCTCTTTAGGACGAACACCAACGGAACGATGGTATTTATTCTGTGAGCTTAACCTATTTTATAACCAGAGAACACAAATATATCTCCAATAGACATACGAATAGATTTCTTCTACAGCGAAAGATTCTTAGCCACACCGACTCATTGACTCGTCTCGTATGAAACAATTGAGTCACTAGAGAGATTCTGCAAAACGAAATGCGTACAAACTTTCGCTCTACATCATGAAGTGCGAAACTTGCAGGGAACGCGAAATGAACTGTCGTAGGAAATTTCGTGAGATCGGGTCATGGCGTACGTGCACTTGGCCCGCGCAAACTACGAAAATGTGCAGAACGCAAAGTTCGTGCAAAAATTCGCACACACTTTCGCAAGGACTGTCGCGAAACTTCGTTCGAATTTTCGTTTTGCAGAACCTCTCTACTGAACCTTTCTTTAGCAACATGACGGCAACTGAAACAGCAACAGAGAAAGTACGATACATGTACTCCACATTCTTACAGGTACTACAAACAGATTGCAGATCGCAATTCTTGCTTTGGCGGCACGAAACTTTATTTGGGGCAGTGCAATTTCGGCGGTACTCACAAATCAAACAGCCCAGACTTGAGTAAACAAATCCAATCATACAAGTTCGAGATTTTCACGAGACTGCGCCCATTGGCTTGTTTCGTATGAAACAAACAAGTTACTGAACCTCTCCACAATAGAGATTTCCCCTGATATGCGAATTTATTTTGCAAACTCGGTCAATTGGTACTTGAACCTTTCCCTCCAGATTGGGAACTGCCAACGATAGTATGCCACTGACCAGTGCCTTACTTGTAACGTACCAATGTACAATGAATATGAGTATTTCGACAACACATCTAACATAAGCCTTACCGTTAAGAAGTTGAACTCGCGTTCTTCGCACACTGTAGACAAGGGCAAAGAGATAAAAATGGATCTAAATCCGAATAAAATCAGCACACGTTTCCGTAAATGAAAGGTGAACATAAGCAAATGAATCGAAGGAAACCGGTCAACTTAGAGATCACCTGTCATCGAGTATTCCGTAAAAGGCGGCCTCGCAGCTCGGCAGCAGAAGAGCAAAATTTAGAAAAGAGATCCTGTCAACTTTTCCATTATTAATTTCCGCCCTAAAATCAGCACACTTTTCCTGAATGAAAGAGTCAACACAAGCAGAATCAAAGGCAACTGGTCAACTCACCTGTCATTGAGTAATATTCCGCGAAAGGAGGTCTCAGCAGCGCCGAAACGAAATAAGCCAGGCCAGGAGACGAAATATCCGAAACAGTTCATGCAAGAAGCAGTTCCAAAGAAGGAAGTAAAGTAGTTCCTCGCGCATGCACATCCGAACACGGATCCGCGGACTGCATGCACTGAACACAATGTCTGCCGTGCACGTGCACAGCACACGGCTACCACGCGTTGGTAGATCTAATACCGAGCACCTTACGTAGAGACTTACGTAGCCTAAGTGAAATACCGAGCACCTTACGTAGAAACTTACGTAGCATAGCGATGTCGTTTTTTCTGCCATGTGAACACAATAATAGAAAAGCTGACAGGATCGCTTTTCTAAATATTGACCTTAGAAATACTGCTGCACTTTCAACCGCCTCTTTTACGCCCATTGCCCACACTGCATTCAGCTCCTTCTTCTGCATAGAATCAAATGGCATTCCTTGTGCAATGACTATAGCCCACACATCTACTTTGACCTTTCTTCTTCTCTCTGCTGAGCCTTTGCCGTGACCATTGCTGTTGCAGCACGTATGCTGTCTGCCTATAAAAGCTGCTGTTCACTCTAGACGCCATTTAGAAACTACAGTTAGAAAGGCCAGTTAGAAATGCCAGTTAGAGATACCAGTTAGAACCTTCAGTAATGTCAGTTTAGAGTTAGAGTTCAACCTTCAATCCAGTCTTTAGTAATAATAAAGTTAACAACAGTGTGTTCACTGAGACCCGTCTGCATTTGCCTCCGAGAGAGAGACTGCGGCCCGTTACAGAATTGGTGCCAGCGGTGGGATACGCTACAGAGTGACTCTACTCTACTCTACCAAGTAGCTAAAAACGAACGCAGCCTAAATCAGTAAAATTAATGTTATCATAATTGATCAAGGACCCATGGAGCATAATAAAGAATATTTCAAAAAAAGTATTCTTGATGTGCACAGACCTTTCTAAAAATCGAATATAAAATGTGTGTCTTCCTACAGTTCACCTGAACCTTGGTTCATTTCGGTAAAACTGACGACTTGAATGCGTCCGTGTTAAAGGGGAAGTTAAGGCAAAAATTAAAATTTCACCAGTTGTAGTCTTCGGGGTGCTGAGTCAGTAGTAAGTTTAGGGTTCCCAGTAAAAAGGCAACATTGCCTGTTGGGAAATCCCTAACAAAATAAGAAAAAATAATAATAATAATAATAATAAGTGCGGGGCGGGTTCTGGCCCACTTTTTGACCTTTGACCTTTGGGCCAAATAAGGCACACTGTGTCGGTCGTGCTTGGTCTGGCCCCGGGACCCCCCAGAGTTTGACCTTTGACCCCTGGCATGCCATAAATGTGCCATAAAGGTTCTTTTCCGTGGCGAACGTGCACGTTCGGTGCATTCGCACCGGGGAGTAGTAAAATACGTACTATTCCCTGATTTGCACATCGTAGATGTGCATTGCATGCAGTGACATATTGCGCATGCGTGCATACGCACGCGGAGCTTGTGACCTTCAGTGGTCCTATGCGTGTGGAAAAGACGCAGTGCAACACAAGGTGTACTAGTACACGTGTCATTATACTACTCCCTGATTCGCACTTCGTAGATGTGCAGCAAACAAGTTAGTTCACGTGCCATGCACTCGTTTTATTCACACATCGTAGATGTGCACTGACAAGTTGCCCATACAGAGCATGCCCTTAAGAGAATGTTCAAATTCGGCCATATTATGAGCTCCAAGATCAGAATTCGGCTCAACATAGTACCAAGAGTAGATAAACAAGAGTGTGCAACTCCGGATCTCTCCTGCACAATCTGCAGATACCCCGCGCCCACGGCGGAATTTTTTGTTTACGTCACCTTTTTTCAGAGAAACGCGGCTTTGCCGCAGAGCAGTGTGAGAGCACGTGCTGGGCACCGACCTTGCAGTGTAAAGCCCATCCAAGTGCACGAGGGAAAACTCTCCAAAAGGCTCGCAGCGCGTGCGTCGTCGAAAAGATTACGTCAACAAAAAATTCCGCCGTGGGCCAACCCATGCGGAGTTGCACACTCTTGTTTATCTACTCTTGATAGTACTTGAAGTCACCGTTCCCATTACGTCATGTACATTTTTTACATACACCCTGTTGAAGCACTGAAGCATCGGTTTTCGGCGAATTCAACATGCGAATTTTTGAAAATTCGGCGAAAAGATGGGTAATTTCTTCAAAACCACTGTTTTCGGCGAATTTTTCGCCCGGCCGATTAGGGAAATGCCTACTGTCCATGCAGGTCCATTAGATGCAAATTTCTATTTTGATCAGGATACAGTTAGAATCAACCGGCTCCGCCCGCGGTATCATGCATCAAAACAATTATTGAAGGGTGTCACAGTGAAGCAGTGTTGCTACGCACCGCAAATCCCCTCTGCACTGCACCGAATCTTTACTGGAGAATCCAGAGTGACCAGCAAAGAGTCACAACCCGCAGGTATCCAGTCACACTAAGGCATATCCACCATTCCCCACATATTCACTGTAACAAAACACAATACTGTTTACTATAATGCACTTTTATTTAAATGGACTTGGATGAGTCTGTAGAAGAGAACACAATGCACGCACACGCACGCATGCGCGGGCACACACACACACACACACACATCTAGGTTATAGTGCTATACACATATCTAGGGTTTAGGAAGCACGAGAATGTGTCGA